TAAATAATTAATTCGAAATTCAGAAATATTAAAAAAATAACATCCCCAAAAGTAGAAGGTAATATTTCAAAAAACACCGAAGTTAGAATTTTTAAAAGTTTTTTTTTTCCGATTGTTCCTATGGGAGCTATAAGATATAGTTGTCCGATCCGGTCGGCTCCGACATATATACTACCTGCAATAGAAAGAAGACTTTTGGGAAAGTTTCATTCCGATAGCTCAAAAACTGAGAGACTAGTTTGCGTAGAAACAGACAGACGGACAGACGGACAGACGGACAGACGGACAGACGGACAGACGGTCAGACGGTCAGACGGACAGACGGACAGACGGACAGACGGACAGACGGACATGGCTAGATCGACTCGTCTAGTGATGCTGATCAAGAATATATATACTTTATGGGGTCGGAAACGTCTCCTTCACTGCGTTGCAAACTTCTGACTGAAATCATAATACCCTCTGCAAGGGTATAAAAATTAGGAAAATCAAAGATACAAATAATAAGAACTTAAAATGTTGGAATTTTTATAATATTTTTTTGAATTTAGATTTAGATAGCCATCATCATTTGCATTAAATATTTCCCAACCTCTAATGATCTATTTATCTCGGTTTTACTAAATTTATTAAATAACTTTAAAATATTATCTACTTTTAAGGGATACTTTTTTTTAGAGTTCCAAAGAAATTGTACTAAGAAGAACATTAAGAACATTAAGAACATTTTTTCTGTTCAATGTTTTTATTTTCTCTCCGTGTATTACTTCTTTTCCCCTCAATATTTCATCGTATCCGAAAGGGGAACCTCTGCTCGTTGGTAATTTATTGTTAAAATAGTATAAAATGTATTTGCCTCTCTGAAATGGCGTCACCCCGACTTTATGGATCGGAAGAAAAAAAGAGAGAGCTTTAAATATATTTCCAATCATAAATCGGGTAAAATAGCAAGAGCACCCAACCTGTACGATTTCCCTGTTTTGTAGTGCACTTAGTGCCGGCCCACATGTCGTATGCTTGATATTTATACCCGTTACTCGTAGAGTAAAAGGGTATATTGTATTCGTGCAAAAGTATGTAACAGGTAGAAGGAAGCGTTTCCGACCCCATAAAGTATATATATTCTTGATCAGGATCACTAGCCGAGTCGATCTAGCCATGTCCGTCTGTCCGTCTGTCTGTCTGTCTGTCTGTCCGTCTGTCCGTATGAACGCTGAGATCTCGGAAACTATAAAAGCTAGAAGATTGGCATTTTGCATGCAGATTCTGGGAGTTCCTACGCAGCGCAAGTTTATTTCAAAAAAGGTGCCACGCCCCCTCTAACGCCCACTAGCCCTCTCTATCGCCCACAGTTTTGAAGCTATTATGAAAATAGTAACTGATATGTATTTGTTTCGTCAATACATATCGATTGGCCAAGTAAAAGTTTGCCACGCCCACTCTAACGCCCGCAAAACCCATTTAACGCTTAAACCTGTCTAGCGCCTACATTTCCGCCTTTCATGGCCAGTAGTACCAATATCTTGGGGTAGATGGCTCAATTCAATATACAATAGCGCCATCTATTCAGATGGTTAATTTGAACTTTTTGTCCTTTTTTTCTGTGGTCACACTAATTCACAATATGTTATTGCAAATTTTAAATTATTTGAAAAGGGCGCGCATTTTGTCTCTTTTTGCTCGTATTCGTTTTTCACAAGTGCATTCACCTGCGCTAGAGAGAGACGGAAGATGTGCTAGGCAGAATTGAAAGTTTTAGAAGGCCTCCACGTGGAGTTCCCTGGGTAAAAAACGGGAGCTAATTCCAGCTTCGAAAAACAAAAAAGGAGGCATATTTCTATTAAGTTGTTTAGCTGAGTAACGGGTATCTAATAGTCGAGGCACTCGATTATAGCGTTCTCTCTTGTTTTTGTACTAAGGATAAAGAAAGCGGGCTAAAGTTGCTTTTGGTAAGGGTTGTGTGTGTTGATGATGGAACGCAGCTGATAAGGTCGAGCGCCGTGTAATGGTTTCTTTTTTCGATTACCGCTGCTGTCGATGTTTTCGTTGCTGCTTTTGTTGTTGCACTCGCCTTTGGCCCGCAGCAATTGCAATGCGTCCCGCATAAACATGAACCCCAAAAAGGAAAAAAATAGAAAAAATATATAAAGAGATAGAGAAACTTTGCTTCTCCGCCCCGCGGAGCTTGAACCTTGTCAAATGATTAATTACATGCCGAAAAGCTATCTAACAATTTGACTCGCTGTCCGTTTGTCCGCTTGTCCGTTTGTGTGTGTGGCTCGTTTTCTGTTCGCCTTTCGGCTGGATTGTCATTAAGCCAACAGCACACAGCCACAGAGGGAGACATAATAAAAAATTATGCCATAGATAAAATGCCATTAGAGGGGAGGTGGTGGGTCACCACTTAGCGCCATTAGAAGGCAGCCAAACAGGCAACGGACAACGGACAAACGGACAACCGGAGGAGCAGAGCAGCCAACCAAAAAGCCAGGCCAAAAAGGGGGAGAGCTGTTGGGCTGCAAGTATGCAATTCTGCAAGATAAGCCGAAGCATTCATGAATTTCATAGATAAAAACCAAACACACACACACACAGAGACAGGGCCGCACACAGATACAAACGTGCACAGGGAGATGCGCTTACAGTACATTGCACAGGAGCAACAACAAATGAAGAGCGCCAAAAGTGAGCAACGTCATCATCATCATCGCCAGATACACCACACTATATATACGTATACACCAGATACACCCAGTTAGCAAGGAGGAGGAAGTCAGGGAATGGGGGCAGAAGGGGCTTTCAAGCAGCAGCTGGAGCCACCACAAACAAACAAACAAACATCAAGGGGCGGTCCCAGAAAAACCTACAAGATAGAAAAACCTATGGTGCTAGATAGAAGATGGAATGCCCTAAAAAAGGTGATGGGTTAAGAACTATTTAACTTGCTACATTGATGTTTTAATTTATATTCCATAAGAATTATTCTGAGTTAAAAAAAACGTAAGTATACAAGTACTTTTTCGATCTAAAAATATTTGATTCTTAATAAGAATTTCTTGGAAACTTGTATGGAAAAATATTAAAGTACTGAAAATTGAACTGAAAACATTTTTAAAATGGTATAACTAATTTTTCCATTTAAAAATAAATAAATATTTAGTACTCGCAACCACTAAGATCTATAAATAACCAAAGAACTCTTAGAAGACACTCTCAGTAAACCACAGAAAGATCATATTCAGCTTTAAGCATCGCAAGTAAGTAATCCAATGTTTGGGATCCCGAAAACCTCCAACGAGTGACCACAGGGCCTAGTTCCATCTGGTCGGCAGGAAAGGCAGTGCAATGGTAATCTTTTGGCCAAAAAAGCGGGGAACCCAAGTGAGTGGCGGGAGGCGGGTGGGTGGCGGTGGCTGGCCCCAAGGAACGCACGCTTTTCCCCACGTTTGTTGTTGGCTGACTGGCCAACTGGGCTCTTCGGTCGCTTGGCGTCGCCATGGAGTGTCAACAGCCAGATAAAGATTAGCCCAGACAAACGCCCACTTTTTAGGCGAACTGTTACGCCCACTGGCCACTCAACCGCCCACCGCCCCCCGATTTCCTCACCCCGATTTCATCTGGCTTTTGTGGCCCTGTGTTTGTGTGCTGGAAATCTTTCACTGACGCAGCACCAAAACGGCCACGTGGAAGGGCTGAGATTCGGATTTGGATTTGTGGCGGGGAGCGGGGGAAATTCGAGGAGGATGGTATGTGGGGTGCCCTACTCCAATTGCCACCAGTTTCGGGGGATTATTAATGATGAATGCTCGAGATGGCAGCGAAATGGTGTGGAATGTCGAGCCAAACGGGGAGCAGGAGCGGAGTTGAGGTTTTAGATTACGGATTAAACTGGCCCATGTATTACGGGATAATCTGAAAATTCATTGTTTTGAAAATGGCATCCTAAAAGTTACTATTAAGCAAATTGTTTTACAGTTTTTTAGAATGTAGATTAAGCTGGATTTTCTGGAAGGTCATTTTTGGGAAAATGGCTTCAAAAAAGATTTTTTTACTTTAAAGTTATATTCAAGAAAATTAAAACTATATTTCTACTAATTTTTAATTATTCAAGAATACAGCTATAATTAAAAATCACTTATCTAAATCTAGAGCAAATGCAGATGAACTTTTCGATAATCCCCAGGGTTTATTACTATCCTTTATCTACTGAAAACATTCAATTCAGGGGCCACTCCGCTCCTGTAAAACTCAAGTTCCAGAAGGGTTGTGGTTGGGTGGTGGTGGGGTGGTCGGGTCAGAGACTTCGTCTCAATGACGTTGACATTGCTGATGATTATGAAGTGATATGAAATTGATGCCAACGATGTCGGAGTGAAGTCAAAATTCCAACCAAAGGGGAGGAGGGTTGCAAAGGGGTCTTATAAATAGAGTGAGAGTGACCCGTTGTCATTTCCTGCAGTCCATCGAAGCGACTGAAACGAGGGTTGTGGCCACCCATTCTCACCCCTGCCTCTCCTCGAAAGGGTTTTCCAAAGGTCTGAGGTGTCAAAATCACAAAAACCGCAGGAGGCGAAAGGGAGTGCCACTGCACTGATAAAAAATCGTATTAAATTAGAGAGCTCTCTCGTCTTCATCTTTTTTTCGGGATTAAATTTTTATTGGCAGAATATCAGCAGCTAGCAGGGATGGGTTTAAAAATTCCTGGGTCTACACACATCGAGAAATTTATTATTGGGCATTAACGGGTTATGTCTGTCAGAGGGAGACAGCTATAGAGAGGCAGACAGAAAGAGAGAGAGAAGGAGAGACTCGCCTGTTTCCTGCAGTCGAAGAGATAAGAATTTATTTTTTGGCTTTGGCCCATTTCGTTTAAGCTGCTAACTTATCGCGGATTGAGCGGCGGACAAAAGGACAACGGACAACGGACAGGCGACAGGATGTGTTTTCCACTTTGAGGAGGATTTTCTTATATACAGGACATGTATTTCAAATTGGCTTACCTCTGCTGTCAACGGTCATCTCTTCTGCGGTATCGGAACAATCACCTAGAAAAGAATTAATAAAGAAATTGGGTTAGCAGATGGTAATAAATATTTTTAAATTAAAATGTAAATATTTAAGAACTACTTTAATTATATAATACAATATTTATGTGCCATAAACATAGAACAACTTGAAGGCAACGTCTAAATTTGCCGGCTACTTCCCGCCCAGAGGTCTCGACTAATAGTTGCTGATATATATCGCAGATAGTTCCAGCCAAATGGCTTTACTTTAAAAGCGATAATAATTGCTGCGAGGGCCGCATTGTTTGCTTTTGTCCACCCATTCCCTGTTTGGCCCAGTATCTTTGCATCTTTTTCTGTTGGCAAACGTTGGGTTTGCCACGAACTACGCACAGTAGTTGGTTTGGTTCGAAGGTTTGCGAGGCCGGTGTCCAAGCCTTCACTCTCCATTCGACCACTCGATTAAACTACAGTACCCAGTATACCCCGCCTAAAGTACCCCCTCTACATCGCACTACTCTTCTTTGTGTTGTTTTTCTCATTTTTGATTATATTTCGCTGATTATTCACTTCAAGGAATTATAATAACAATAATAACAACAATCCGCAGAATTCCTTCGTTTTCATTTCAGCTCCTCTGGTCTTCTGCTTGTGCTTCCTCTTCTTCGTTCGCCGCAGATCGGAGATAGCGCAGCCATACACACAGATACAGATACGAGTGAGTAGTGGCCAGAGTACTCGTACTCACAGATGCAGATACATATGAGTATGAGCCGGGTACGAGCCGAGCTGAGGCCGTGGAATGAATGTGAAGCCACACAGCGCAGATAGGCGACTGATAAGCAACTGAAAGCTGGCTGCCATGGACGCGAAATGCGGACTTGGACTTGGACTACACAGTGGACAGTGGACAGTGTCGGACAGGCGACCTTATAGAGCCCCCTCCTTTATAAGACAGGGTCCAAAGGCTGGCTTCGATAGCAATTGGCGGGATTTCCTTGGTTTTTTGCAATACACCCACACATGACTTGCAGGTTGATTTGAACCTCCAGGGAATTTAGCGGGAACAGCTACACTCAAAGTATTTCTACTCATAATCAATATAATCAAATGAGTAACTAAAATGAATACATCAAAGTTAAGTTGTTTTCTGGAATTTTTATGTTTTCTTTATTATTATATTTTTGTATCCAGATGATCCCCCTTTTCCAAGAATTTTCTTAGCTTTGTTGTCTTTAATAACTAATGAATAATTTAATTTAATCTCAAATTTAAAATTCAGAGTACTTTACTGGGTAAGTAAAAATTCCAAGAATTTATAATAATTTCCAAGCAAATGATGAATGTGTATGCATCTAAAGCAGATAAGAAGTTAAGCTGCAGTATCTTAATAACAAATGTTATTGACAAATAAATAAATTCTTTATAACTGACGGACACCAGTTTATGTTTATTTTATATAAAAAACATTTTCTGTATATTTTTGTAGTGATAAGAAATTGAATTCAAGATCCCTGTAAACATTGGATATTAAATGGATAATATCTCTAGTTTCTTAGTTCCTTTCTTTCCCGTGTATTACTCATTCGAAACTCTCTTTAATCGTTTCTCACCTCTCGAATTGCTACTGAGCATTGTTTCCTTCATAAATACAATAATCCACTTGGCAGATAATCCAGGTTTAGTAGTTGTTGGCTAGCTCGTTCACTTTCCCACTTGGCACATGTTTTAGCTTTCGGTTTAGGCCGTACTTAGGCGGCAATTATGTTGTCACTTCTCGTGGGAATTCACTTTGACTCACTGCACTCACAGTAGCACTGTAGCATTATTCAAATTTCTCATTATGACGAACGTAGTGGCTATGATATCGTATTGTAGCTCTCATTCCGTTGGAACTGAGTTCTTCAAGAGAGTACCGCGCGCGTACCGCTCGTGGTTGCTGAGTTGCTGACTGCTCCGCGTTCCACAGCAAACTGAAAACCCGCCGACGACCGGCTGAGTGAGGCGGTGAGTAATGAAATTTTCGTGCGCCGCTGTGAGATACAGATACAACCGATACGGAGATACTGTGGTGGCAACCGAGCGAACTGAACCGAGGAGTGAACCGATGACGACGCAGCACAGCTGATGTTTGTTGATGCCGGGATGCCGGGCCAAAAGTTGTTTATCTTTGGGTTTCGAACTGGGATTCGTACTTGGGAATGGGATTCGTATCAGCGGCAGCCGAGAAACTCTCTCGTCCGTCGGTTGGCTGCAAACTGAAATAAGATATTGCGAGTTGAGTGGAGTGGCGACCCCTTCTGTGACTCTCTGCTCTGCTCGGCTGCGGTCGACTTCCTTCGCTCGCCTCGGAATTATTCGAAACAAAAACTGATAAAGCACTGATAAGGAGCGCAGCGCGGCGAGCTCTGCGCTTAGATAACATCGCAGAAACAGAAACAGAACCAAAACCAACAGCCAAACAACGAAACAACCAACCAACCAGCAGCGAACGGATACACAACCAACACCGCTGCAGATACGGATACAAAGATATATTCGGAGAGGGTGTGTGCACTGTGTGTGTGTGTCGGTGCGCGAGGGAGATGCTTTTCAGCGATATCGCGTCTACGGCTAATGGAATTCTGATTATTGCTTAGTGATAAGCGTTTTGTGTTTAATTGTATCTCTGTATCTGTATCTGAGTGCACTGGGCGAAAAGAGGTGTATGAAACATGGTAGAGAAATTGAGAATAGTTGGATTTTCAAGGGAATAATATATAGATTATGGATTGTTACAAGATATTGTGATAGATACTCTCTTTGAACTTGGGATACAGTTATCTTAGTATTAAGATTTTTGGTATACACTTTTAAAATCCCAAAATTCAAGTGTATTTCTTTCGGTACAGTGAGATCTCTTGCACAGGTCTCCCCATTCAGTTATCATTCACCTCCTCCGGCCTCCATCCTCCATCCCCCATCCACATGGCCATTTCTATCTGCATCTCCATCAACTCTCCATCATCATTCTGCAGCTTTTGGCTCACGGGGCTTTTGTTCGGCGTTTTCTCGGTTCGGTTTTCCTTGGCGAGAGGGCTTATCGCCTGGCGTAGATCTATTTTTATGCTGCTCTTGCTACTCTTTCTCGCTCCCTCCTGGCACTCCCCATCTACACATCTCGAGCGACCTCCGCCTCTGATTCCTATCGGCGTTTGGTTTATTTCCATTTCCCTGGCAACTTTGCAGATGCAAAAGGAAAAAGCAGCAACGTTTTCTTCTTTCTCAGCGATTAAAATCGCCTGGTTTCTCCTGCTCAGCCGCTCTTTCTCTTTCTCCCATTTAGCTCTCCGCAATCAGCTGTTGCCAGCATGTTGCGCATGCGTTATGGTTATATCGTAATATATTTCGAGATATAGCCAAAACAACCCAGCCCACAGCCCACAACCCTCCCCCTGCCGATTTCGCTGTTGTCTGCTGGCAACGATTATCTCGTTTGCCATTGTTGACTTTTAATTAGATTCATTAAACGTGCCGCTTGCCGCCAACTCTCTTGCAACCCCCTTCGGTTAGCCCCTGGGTCCAAGGTTTTTAAGCACGACTTGGATAATACCCTAGATATCCATGAGATATTGGTGTTCAGGGACGCATATGCTTAGATCAACGTGAGCCAAAGATATCCAGATTGCCCCAAAAAGTATCCAGTAATTAAATTGAATTATTTTTTATGATCTAGTGCTTTTTCTAGGAAGGATTTTGTATGATTTTTGTATGACAACTGTATAATAATTTTCTTATTTTGTAAAATTATAAAAACACATTTGTTCTTTTCGTTTATTCCAGGGTATTTAATTTTCGTTATTCCCCTTTATTTTCTACCAACTTTAGCCTTTTTGCCTGCTTATGTGTTAGATTAAATTTTCAGCAGTTTGTGGGTGTTTTTTATTTTTTGTTTCGAGCTCATGCAGCGATAAACACTTCATGCGTGAATATCTGCAAAAGGTTTCTGATAAATGCGACCGCTGCGGTTGTTTCGCGTTGTTGTTTTTGGTGTTGCTGCTGCTGGTTGTTTGTTGCTGGGGTGATGAACTGCCATTATCCATCTCTTTTTGACTTTGGCAAAAGCAATTGTTTTGCAATTATGTTGCTACAAGTCTGTATACACATTTTTTGGCTCAGTGTGCGCTCGTGTATCTATGTCTGTCATTGTTGTTACGTGCTCATTTATTGACATAAATATGAACAAATGCGACAGATCAACGTCTGCTGATTGCGCTACATCGAAAAAGCGTTTTCAAGAAAATATGCTAAAAATACAAAGAGCAACAACAACAGCAGCAGCAGCAACAATGAGTGTATTATTACACAGAAAACATGAATAATGGCAGAGAAAAATATTTAAAGATTAAGAGATATCTTTAAAAAAATCTTGTTAATATTTATTTAAATATTTTTTTATTTAAATAATAAAATTGAAATTGGTATTCTTATGGTATAGATTGGATCAAATGAATTGTTTCAGTGTTTTTCCTGCAGCTCCGAATGACGCAGCACTTGGAGGCACTCCCCCGCTTCCCTGTCTTTCCTTCTCTGACCTCGATGCCTCCTCCCCCCCCTCCCCCACACACACACACACACACGAAAGGAAAACTCCGCTGAGAGCGCAGATGCAAGCGAGTTGATAAGAGATCCTCACGCTGATAAGAAAGCAAAAGCAGCGAGCAAACTCACAGTTGTTGCTTATTTTTTGGGGTTATTTCTACTTCTACGCTGAAGCCTGGCTCTATTGCCATCTCTCTCTGGCCGTGTATCTCCATCTCTCTCCCTCGCTGTTCGTCGCTTTATTTCATTTCGTTCGCTTTTCGGGTAGATGCATCGTTAAGATTAGCACAGGCAGCATTTGTTGTTGTTGTTGTTGGGGGAAAAAACATTTATCATGAAATAAATCTACTTAAGTTTTGTTTTTTCGTCTGCGTTTTTTTAGTTCCCTCCAAATTCTGCACAGAAAAATAATACTTTAGTTAAAAGTAGTTATTTTTGAATTTCAATGAGTTTTAAAA